TTCCATATGTGAAATGAATAGATTAGATGGAACTTTCCTTCTGTTCTAAGCATCTATTTAGAATCTATGGCATTTGCATTTGAGCCACCTGGAAGAACTAGTCAGCAGAGAGCTGTGGAAGACAATAGTCATTAATTTCGTTCATTAAGTGCCTAGAAGTTGCCCTGCCAGTGTTCCGTATAATAGCAAACAAGACTGAAAATAGCTCTACTTTGGGGAAGAATCCCAGGAAAAATACCTTTTAAAAAATTAATTTATTAAACTTTTAGTCTACTGTCATTTTGTCCTGTATTTTACCACCTTTGTATAGCACCTTTATTTCTATTATAACACTTGTCCCCTAAATTGTGATCATTCATGGGTCACCTCTCAGGCTCTTATATGAGGTGGACGTTAAGTTCATGTGCAATTTAAATCTAAAGCCCCGGGAATCTGGGGAAGTGGCCTGGATCAGATTCTCCCTCACAGTCCTAGCAGGGAGCCAATCTTGCCAACACCTGACTTCAGACTTTGAGTCTCCTGTGATGTATTATGTCTGAACTTGACCAAGTTAAGGATGCCCAGGTAATTGCCAAAATGTTATTTCTGTGTGTATCTCTCAGAGTGTTTCTGGAAGAGATTAGCATTTGAATCAGTAGACTGTGCAAGGAAGACCTGCCCTCATCCGCTCCTGCCCTCAGACATCAGAGATCCTGGTCCCTGGGCCTTTGGACTCCAGGATTGACACCAGCATGTGTTTCCCATCTTCATCCCCACCCCTAAGTTCTCGCCTTTGACCTTGTATTGAATCACACCACCAGTTGTCCTGGGTATCCAGCTTGCAGATGGCAGAGCATAGGATTTCATAGCCTTCATAATCATGTGAGCCAATTGCCATAGTCTTCCATCTATCTATCTATCCATCCATCCATCTATCTATCTATCATCTATCTATCCATTCACCCTATTGGTTGGTCTCTGAAGAACCCTGTTTAATATACCTCCTGAACGGGAGAACATACACTTCTGTTGTTCAAGTCACCCAGTTGGTGGCGCTATACTCACCAGGCCTGGCCAACTACTACAGGGTAGTAAAGTTCTACCCTCTATTAAATTTAAACCCCAGACTCCTGTGTGTCCCTAAAGAAAGAGAGGAAGAATAAGAATTGACATTTAATTTTTTACTTCTTTATAAATAAGAAATGGAATTTAAGTTACTATTAAAAATTAAAGAAATAGAAATTATCTGTATTTATAAGGACATATGATTACAAATTCAGACAAACTCCATAGTTTAATATTTCTTCTTTTTAATTTATGCCATGAGTGTGACTCTTGAGCTTTTGAAGAGAAGCCTCAGAATGCCTTCTGCTCTTCCAGCCTCTGGTCCATTTCCTGTCGCCAGGATTGTCCAGCCACCTTCTCACCAGCACAGGATGGGGCCTCAGTAGGTAATCATAAAGACACCTGACTAGTGAGTCACACTGCCTTAGGCACAAATACTTAGCAGGGATGTGTTATCTCTAAGAAAGGGCTTCACATGACAGTTCTCTGGGGACTATGGGTCAGTCATGATCTGGGCAGGGGATCAGATGGGAAACTGACCATGATGGGTAGTAATGGCCTTGAGAGAGCCAGGCAGTGTTGTTGGAGAGAACCAGGACATTTGCTCAGAGGCGTAGCTTAGAGGAGAAGCTTTCACTCATGATTTATCGAGTGCTTATTATGCTCAAGGCCCTGGGAGGAAATACCTAGAGAAACAGCTACATTATTGTTCTGTAACTCTTGAGATCTATGCATACCACAAACATGAAATGTGGCAGACACTGCAATCAACACAGACACCAAGTAAATAGCACGTGAGTTCAGTGATCTGAGAGATGGCAGCATGTCCAGCAGCCACAGGTGGGCTGAGGCTGTGTTCCATGTTCCCAGGACGAGTATATCCCCCAGACTCCTGAGAGTCCCTAAGGAAAGAGAGGCAGAATAGGAATGGTGGATTGGGAACTCTTCATACACAAAACTGCATCTGAGGTGCCTGCTGCAAACTGCACTTTCAATGCCACTGTGCCCTCTCCCAATCTCTCCAGCAGTGATGGCATTAACAAAGACACCAGAGCATGGGAGTGAAGTCACACATGTCACCATGTGAGCACCTACAAGTCTCAGCCAGGCCAGGGCTGATTTATGCCCTAGTCTTCTTTCTTGGGCCCCAGCGGGTCCTCTGCAGCCCCCCAACTTGATTTCTACACTGCTGTGTGTGATAGGAACACCTGCCTCTCTACAGGGCCCATGCTGCCATGGAGTCCGTGCACGATTTCCATTCCCTGTGTACTCACGTCACCGTTCATTCATCAGCAGTGTTCACTACTTACTTCCCTGGTACCCCACCAGGACATGGGAGTGTGAATGTGTTTTCCATGAAGTGCTGGCCTTCATGCAGAGCTGTTTTCTTCTGCTAGTGAGAGGCTGGAGTAACAAAGTGCTGTTGTTACGATCCTTCCATTGTGCATTTTTCTTGAATAATGACATTTCTACAAAGAATTCGACTGAAATGAGGCATCAGAAGACAAGTGCTTTTCATATCCTTGAACAGGAGAAATATTTACAAGAATGACTTCTCAATGCAAACGAGACAGATTTATTTTATTTTTTAAAGATGTGTGTGTAGCAGAGGGAAGCAAATTATTCCAAACTTCAAGTTAGTTAACACTCTTCTGGCTTAATTCTTTGGGGGAAATGAGACAAATTGCAGCTTAGGACTATGCAGTCATAGTTTTCCATTTATGTTAATTGACTTAGTCCCTCCCTAGAGTTCTGTGACTGACATATATACTGTTAACTCTTGCGTTTTCCAGACATGAAAATCAAAGCACAAAGACGTTCAGGTCACCTGGCTAGCAGGCTGTGGAGCTGGAATTCAGACCAGGCAGCGCGGAGGGTATGGTATTAAGGAAGATATTCTATTGGGTTTCCCTGTAATTCTGGAGAAAGAGAGTCTATACATTGAAGAGGGTGTTATTTCACGCACACCCATAGGTTTTGTTCCTACATGAAAGTCTGACAGATGTCATTTAACACTTTTATAACTTCTAGCTATGTGGCAAGAAGATATCTTATAGGAATTCTACTTTCAAAGCTGGGCCTTAGATTCCAGCAAGCTGGAAGAAACCTTATGAAAGAGAAAGGGATTGCTGTCTGGATCCTAGATATACATTATGCTGGGACTATCTGGGTTGCCCCCTCTTTTGCATCCCTCAAAACATCCAGGTACTAGGATGAAAAGACATTCTTGCTAGCGATGGCAGAGGAAGGCTCTCAACCTTCACAGAGCAGAACATCTAAGTGAGACCCCAAGAAGACAGACAATGCGTCAGGGCAGGCCTCCAACCCCAGGTCCCAGGCGCCCAGCGGCATTCTCTTTCTAGCATCGGCTGGTTTAGAAGGTCAGGGAGGGTCACCATTTGTTTTCTAGCATGCTGACACTTGTTCCCTCAGTGTGCAGGGTAGGGGGTCATCTTCTGGAGGTCGCTGAGGCAGGAATCTCATTTTCATCCCCGCAAG